CCACCATTGTTTAGAGTAACCATCAAGGTTAATCTCTACTCTTTTCGCAATCATCACAACTACCAATCTTCCTCTTTAATCAAGTATAACACTAGAACCAGTATTATACTTGTTCCTACACTTCCGTGTCATATGACCTAATTTCTCACAATTGTAGCAGAGAAATAAAATGTCATTCTTAGAGGATTGACCGACTATATTTTGGTTACCACGAAGGGCACCATTCTAATTGGTATGGATCTGGTTCACTTAGTACTGACATATAGTACTTCTTCAAAATAAATATGGGCATACAACCCATTCCCATAGCATAGGATTATATAATACACATTCATATATATACTGCGGAGTATGCATTTATGTAATCAAAATTACTCTACTTTACAACATGTACATAAAATTGTACTCAAATCATTAAGAAACCACATCTCAATGTCAACATAATCATGCATCGGTTCTAGATTCTTTTCTAGCATTCACCAAGTTCCTCAATTGTATGCTCAAAATTCTATTGAATAAATTCTATTCAAAATCTTACCTCTTTTCATGAAGACGTTGTCTTCAGAATTTGCAGTATAGCGCCTTCAACGCTTGCACAACGCTTTGTTGGAATCAGACGTGACGTCATTGACCACAGTCCATTTGGAGACCAATTTCTCCTCATCCTTTTCCTACTTTGTGTTCAACCTATAATCCTCAAGCCACTCAACAAAACACAATTGAAAAAATCATCAGCAATTTGTTCAAGATTTGATAACCCATCAATTATCAAATATACATCACAACCAAATAAGGAAGAAAACCCCCTTTTTCAATTTTATATATATGATTCCTGCGAATCAATATGGTTCCCCAAAGGGTCCAACACTCATGACGGCAGGCTGTGAAGTAGTAGGCTCCCAGGACTTTCCCGGCTTCACTTTCAGCTTGAATGTATCTGAAGCAGAAGAGCAAGTGTAGAGAGGGCCAGGGAGGCCGTTGATGGTGTAAGCGTCGGACACATTTGGACCGCCACCGGTCTGAAGAGCTTGAGCAATGACAGACTCAGGATTCACATTGAACCATTCCCCAAAAAGGATGGGAATCTGCTTGTAGGGCTTGGGGAAAGGGCCGCGGAGGGTTTGTGAGAGAAGCTATTAGCTCCTCCACAGCCGCCAGAAGAACCTAAGTAGCAAAGGCTTCCCCACAGTTCCATTTTTTACCCCTCTATGGACTTCAATTAATTGCCTAAAAGGAATCCGACAACTGATTTCCCAGAGCACTTGTCCCGGTCCGCATAATTATTTGATAATCTCCTGTTGCTTCTCCGACTCCTTGCCTAAAGAATAAAATTCCCTTCCCGAGAATAATCGACAAGCAGAGAGAGGTCTCAAATCCCCTTTCAATGGGGTTGTCTCGGATCGACTGTTTCGTTCTCGAATTATGACCGTCGTCGAGATATTGCAATTGCTTCGTCGTGAACAATAAGCAATTGAATCGTTCGAGCCAAAATCGGCATCCTGTTTGATACAAATCACAACAACCGAACGTCTTAAAATTGTTAGAAATCGAAAAGAAAATTTAGGGTTACCAATCTGGCTGAGTCGCGGACTAGGTCGCTCTCTTTAAGACGTTCGCGGCACTGCCTAGTTATTCGCACAACATACTATCAGCCGGTCGCCTCCAGGATAAAACAACCACTCTTTTGATTTGCTCAGCGGTTTTGTGCATAAAACCAGAGCTCTTTGAATCTCACTCTCTCTCGTGTTTTTTCTCTTCTGAGGTGTATTTAGAGGGTCTAGGGGACTGCTATTTATAGGAGCAGAAAACCTAGAATATTCTCTCTTTCTTTGAGAATAAGTCATATTTTAATTAGGGAGATAATTACTCCCATAATTAAAATATAATCTATTAAAATAATTAATCCTAATTATCTCCATAATATTCCTTTTATTAATTATCCATCTTAATTTTGTATTATGGGAAAATACTGGATAATTAATTAGGAATTTTATTTATAGCTTTTCAAACCTATTCATCCCAACAATTACCATGAATGAATGGGTTGTTACCCTATGGTTTGTGAAGCCGCAACTTCCGAGGGTAAGATTTCAACTGCCAATTGCAATGGTCATTCTACGGTGATTCGTTCTCAATCTCACGAAAGCCAAGAGGAACTACCCCAAGAACATGAAACCAGTAACAAAGGCGCTGCTTGCGAGCTCATTGTCTAAAAAATAAAAGAGGCAGATGGACAAAAGGCTATTGGGAAGCTTAATGATTATCAAAGGCGAGTAAACACCACACCGAATCATTTTCCCTTGAAGGCTTCTCTTTGGGGTCGTTGCCAAGTGCTCAAAGGCCCACCATTATCAATATTGGAAGAAAAGGGTCCTTGGTTTGGTTGCAAGAAAGAAAAGTTTGGCAGAAGGTCCTAGTGGTGGTGGCTCATGCTCTATGGAGATCCCGGTTGAAGAAGACGAGCGACGTTCGTGGCTGATTCTTGTGGTCAAGAATCGTTTCAAAGGGATGGAATGTTATGTGAATTTATTTAATTATTCTAGTTATTTAATTAGGAGTTGTAATGGGTGGGGATTATGACGTGATTAGTGGGTTAGCTAGGATTAAGGAAAGTGTTTTTCGTTGGTTAGGGACTTAGGGGTATTAGTTGTTTCTTCATTATTTAAGATAGCAGATGATAGAGGAAAGATTATGAATTGAGTATAATCGAAAAATGGGTTTACACACCTACTTGTTAATTTGTTAGGTTGGCTTTTCTCGAAAAAGGTTAGAGGTTCCGTTCTCGCCATTAAGGAGAACACTTCTCTTCTTCCAATCTATCTATTTTTCTTCCATTTTTCTTCGTCATATTATGATATTTCTCCCTAAACCGTATTCGTGCAGAAAGGGCACGTAACATACTGCATATTCATGCATTAGAGACCATTATCATTTTGATAAACTTGAAATGAAAGTATATCCTCATCTTACAAATGCTTAACCACAAATTGCACTTTCTTAACAAGAAGACTAGTTTTAGAAGATGAAAATGATAAGAAGGTGAAAATTGTAGGGTAAAAGTGAAAGTAGAAACAAGGGTTCTTATTATGTGCAGTGCAGCAGAGAACAGAGCAGTGCAACAGCCAGCAGTATTGAGTACAACAAAACAATTCCTAAAGGGACCATCCTATGCCTAGCTAGCATATCAGTAAAGTAATAATATGATAACAGATTTGTTTTTACTGCTACAAAACAATTCCAACTGCCTCCCATGTCGCTGCGTCCTTCAATTTTTTTTTTTTTTGTCTCTTCTTTTATTTCCTTCCGTTTTATACCAAATGTAATGTGTATTATTATTATTATTATTATTTTGTCCATAATTTCACGAAATTGAGAGATGCAATTAGCTGACAGCTATATACACTGATATCCTCCAGTTATGCTAATTAAGCGCAAAAATTAGCATGTTGACACTGTTGAACCGTTTCTATGCAGATATTGCTGCGTACTTTTAGTTACTCGATCGTACATGATTTTGAAAATAATATGATCTTGTAGATAATCAAGGTGTGAATGCACAAAGACGATACTGGCAAGGGATTGCTCAAACTGGCTAAACAAGGCGGGAATCTCCCCCAGGCTAGAGATCTGCCGGTGTGAAAGTTGATCAATGTGAGTTTTGTTCAAAATATGTACAACAAAAGAAAATGGCGGAGGTGAAAAAATAGGTGTGGAAACTGGAAAGGGTGAGAAAGGACATGTTTCCCCTGTAGAGAACACAATCATGAGCTGGCAGGCAGCAGGGCAATTGCAGGAGCAGCAGCAGGAAGGAAGGAAGGAAGCAGAGAGCCAGTCAGTCAGTGTACCATATTCTGTTGTTTGAGAGAGAGGAGCAAGTTAAGTAAAAGTTGGGATTTATATAATAAAAGTTAGTTCAGGAGGATTCCCCATTTCCCCCCAAAATGCGTGTACCATACAAGGAGTGCACTAAGGAAGGTTTCAAACAAAATTCGACCAGTGCTACAATCGGTTTACGTCGGGTTATGCGATTTAATAAAATACATTAAATAAATATAAAAAAGATTAAGAATTTATGCATCTATAAAACATATTTGAATACAATAGCTTACTATTTATATTCATATTTAAATAGATTGCAATATTTCAAACAAAATAACAAATACTCATATTTAAATACAACATTTAACATCAACACCCCAAACTTTATACTTAAATCAAACAAATAACATCAACATTTAACTTTTAAATTCACGAAATACATCACAAACTAATTTTTAATTAACTAAATTCAGTAAAAGTGTAAAACGAAGTTATTTTGTTTATAGGCCAAATTTTTTTTTTTATCAAGTCATTCATATCGGTTATATTCATGCTGATTTCATAACGGTATCATTAAGATTAGATTCAACCGGTCGGAATTCCACCGGTATGACAACCATGGCACTAACACAGTCATAGAAAAATCGTAAATTTCATAGGAGAAGTTTCATAGTTCATAATTTTTATTTTATTTTATATAAGGGTGCTATAGATTTGAATTTTAGTTAGGTGCTAGTTAAGAGATTCGAACTTGAAATCTTCCTATTCAATACCAGTAATATTAGCGGCCAATCCCTGATTCTAATAATCCAGATCTTTGATTAACCAAAACTATATGTTGTGGAATCCTACAAGGAAAACACAAGTTTCAAATGGAAACCATCATTTTTAATCTTGTAGTTATGTTAAAGTCAAAATGTAATGTATATAATATATATCTAAAATTGTTAATCTTTCATTATAAAAAAAAATTTGTTAAACTTTTGCAAGTAACTTGGCTTTACAAAACTTACACAGCCACCACTAGCCACTGCCCACTGGCCACTAGTGCTATACTAGTACTAGTATATATAGGAAAAGCACCCCGCCATTGAAATTGAAGAGTAGCCGCCGGACGGAACTCCGCTTCCATTATTTTCTCACTCCGGGAGAACACAACGTCGCCGTCGTTTAATTCTGTGATGGATGCATTCTCTGCCAAACGCTACGGCTGCAGAGATTCCGCCCTCACCTCCTCTTCCTCCGCCGCCAGCAAGAGCCATAAAGAGTCGGAGCGCCGCCGCCGCCACCGTATCAACGCCCACCTCTCCACCCTCCGCTCTCTCCTCCCCAAGCGCGTCAAGGTTAATCAATTAATCAGTTGCACTTCTTCTTCTTCTTTGACGAAACTCTTTGCACACTAAACCAGCTAATTCCAATTGATTGACGCGATTGGGGGTGTTTTGGTGATGAGCAGCCGGACAAGGCGTCGCTGCTGGCGGAGGCGGTGGACCACTTGAGGCAGCTGAAGAAGCAAGCAGGGCTGAACGGAGCTGAACCGTGGTGTCTGATCCCGGGGGAATCGGACGAGGCGACGGTGAGCTGTTGCGGCGGCGGAGATGGGAAGAAGAAGATGATGAGATTGAGCGTGTGCTGCGACGATCGGCCGGGGCTGAACGGAGATTTGAGCCAGGCGATTCGGTCAGTCCGGGCGAGGGCGGTTCGGGCGGAGATGGTGACGGTGGGTGGTCGGACGAAAAGCGTGGTGACGGTGGAGGCGGAGGCAGGGGACAATGGCGGCGGTTGGGAGGAGGAAGACGTCAGGATTCTGAGGAGAGCTTTGACCGCCGTGATGATGAACCGGGACTCGGGTTCTGGGCTGGGCCATGTGGTCCGTGGGAACAAACGGGCCCGTGTTTCTTGATTCTAGTTGGGGGCTTGCAGTGCGTGGTTGATTGAGCTTTTCTGTATCGTTACAATTTTATTGAATATCTTAGAAAGAATGCGGTAAATTTTTTTTTTTTTTTTTTTTTTTTTTGACGAGAGAATGCGGTAAATTGAAGTTTTGAGTTTTGAGTATTGTTTGGGTCAATTCCCATTTCAAAAAATGTCAGAAGAAATCTGCATCGCTAAATGTCGTCGACGTGTCATCCTGACTTGAATACATAAATTATCTTATCTTTCAATTAATTTTCTACAAAAAAAAAAAATCAAAATCAGTACACCACCAAAACAACCCTCCCCCTTTACACAATCTCGACTCCAGTCTCCTTTATCGAACTCTCCCATCCGTTCTCCTCTGCCTCGGCCGCACCAACATCTCCTGTTGCAACCATCACAACTCTTATAAGAGCAAACATATGAGAGTGAGAGCAGTGGCCTAGCCAGAATTTCGTTTAAATATAATCTTACATGAAAAACTTTTGATAAATTAAAATGCATTAGCAGTCGAAAATATCAAGAATATCACTCTGCATATATACCAAACAATCATTGATTTAGTTAGTCGTAGTGTTTCAAATGGTGTTCTTTGTTAAGAACCGTTAGTATCAATACCTCGAGTTGTTGATAGAGGTTTAATAATAAATCTTATACCAACCAATAATTCATGATTTACCTAGTCGTTCTCTTTCGAATGATGTTCTTAAAAAAATATTTAGTATCAATAAATCGAGTCGTTGGAAGATTTCAATAATATATTATACCATTTACTACCATGCTCCCTTATAAGAAACTAAGAAAGTCAACTTATACGAAATTGATGTTTGCACAAATCTGTATACCGTATGCTTAAAAAATGAGGTCAACAAGATTCAAACACAAAACTTTTCGACCAACTATTATCAATTAAACGCGAGCTAGTTTTCGATATCAATTAACTATTATACCTAATTTAACCATTTCCCCCCAAACCAGGGTGGGTCCCAGGACCCACCATCTTACCCTCTCCCTCTGCCACTATGTGAGGGTGAGCTGACAGAGATGAAGTGCAATGCAATAGAAGTTGAGAAATGAGTAGCATAAGGGAATCTAACCCGGCTGAAAAGAAAGAGTCTATGGTTCACTATACCCTAGTAGGGATGGCAACAAAACCCGAACCCATGGGTACCCACCCGAACCCATGGGTACCCACCCGACCCAACTCGGTCAACGCGTGTAAAATCCGTGTTGATGGGTTTTGGGCCGGGTTTGGATTTTAACCCATTCACTATTCACCGGGTTGGGTTGGGTTTGAGTTTAGGTAAACCCGCCACATGGTTACCTGTCCACACTCGTATAATTAATTTTCTCGGTATATTTAATATTCTAAACAACTAGTTTTATTTATGTTTGTGGAGACTTGTCTAATTTTTTCTTTCTAATTGTGTAGAATGAAGTTGATGTTATCGAGTGGAGAGTGAAGAAACTTAATTGAAAGGAAGAAGCTTTGAATTAATCATATTATTTATGGATAATTTGTGATTTGCTTCAATTTTCTTGAGTTTTCTAGATTGGTGTTGAACAATTTGTATAGTTAATTTGTGATTTGCTTGAATTTTCTAGAATTGTGTTTTATATATGGATAATTTGTATTGGGAGATTGATATTTGACTTTAATTTTGATAGGAACTTGTTATTGTAAATTTTTTACAACAAAAACCGGTGGGTACCCATGAACCCGCGGATACCCAACGGGTTGGGTTGGGTTTGAGTTTTTCAAATCAAGTGAGTTTTACCCCGAATTTTTTTCAAGGATAAAACCATGGGTTTGGGTTTGGAATGGCAAAACCTGACCCAACCCGATCCATTAACATCTCTATACCATAGCCGTTAGTCAATGATGAAAATTGGAGTGCCACGTGTTAGACATAATAAATAGGTTTTAAATTAAAGTTTAACTTCCTTTTTCATTTTCACTATTGGCAAATTTCTGCTGGTATAAATAAAATACAGAGAGCAAGATGCTCTTTGAGTTTTTCCCCTCCAATTATCCTTTCTTCTCCAAGTTGCTTAACCTGTTACCGAGTGGTATAAGAACCAGTATAACCTTCTCCCAATAACTCGAGTCATTGGGATCAATTGGTTTTTAACATGGTACCAGAGCTGCTTTGTCTATGAGGTCACGTGTTCAAGTCCTTACGACCCCCAATATTAATCGTTGTCTTTTAAGCACATGGAATGGTGGGCCTGTGCAAACTTCAAGCCCATGAGTCGGCTTTCGTTTGAGGGGCGTGTAAGGAAGTGGTTAAGTACCATACATGAGCCTGTATAAGATCCAACATAACCTTCTTCCAACAACTCGAATTATTGGGACCAACTGGTTTATAACATGGTATCAGAGCGAAACTCGATCCTTGTCTAGGGTTTTGAGCTTCTGCACTCATCCTTCGTTGCCTCTCCGTGGCATCATCGCCATCCTCAGTCCAAAATATCCTCTGTTTCCTTCATCGGTCCCGCAGCAGCAGCTAGCAAGAGTCATTAGCGGTTGTCTGCACAGATCGTTGTTCAGCAGTTGTCCGTGTTGTTCTGATCAAAGCTGTTGATCTCCATCGTCCTCGTCAAAGAGCTCACATCAGTCTGTCATCAACCCGGTCCGCATCAAGCTCGTTCTCTAGCAAACTGGTCCCACCTGCCACAAATCGGGCCGCTCGAAGTCAAACTCCACAATCTCTGCCAATTTTGGCTCCTCGCTAGTTGCCCCTCCTCTTCATCAAGAGTTTTTTATTATAGTCCAAATGTATATTCCTCATGTGTCGCAGAGCTAAACCTTGATGCATTGGTGGAAGATTAAAGGAGGAGAAGGCTTGGTTGCTCGTCCGAGTCTCTAGAAGAAGAAACAATTTCTTGGTCCTGTGCTGCCTTTTGGGTTAATTAAAACACAAGATGTGTTTTGTCAAGAAGTCAAATCGGTTCATTCAAAGGCAGCAAAGGTCGTTGTGTTTTGTCAAGAAGTCTTCTCAACGTTGCAGCCGGGGTCATCTTCATCAAGGCCACTCTCAGCTGCTGCTTATTCCATTCAGTCTAGACTGTTGCACAGTAAGTCAATCTTCACCAACATCACAGTCATGGCGTTGAAGGCAATCATGACAGGCATCGGTCATCTCCTCAAATAGCTAGTGTTGGGGAGATGGAAAAGATTTCGTTAACAAAATCTTATCATGTCGTACAACGAGGTAGTCACGATGCAAGGAGAGATCGTCCCCTCGACATTCAGAAGCAGGTAATTTTCAGTCTTCACTATTTTAACTTTCAAGTTGGGCATTCACGTCGTTCTTGCTTCAGCTTGAGGGGGAGAATAGGGAATCAACACATGTAGGTCGACTAGTTCATTCATCAAGTCGACCGCGTGTATCTATCAATCATGTTGCTCGGGGAAGCACAGTCAGAAGTGCAGTTAGAAGTCTCCAAATCCAGCAACACAGTCATCTGTCTCAAGTCTCTTCTAAGACGTCAAGGTAATTCCGCCATGTGGAGTTCACTATTGTTGAACTAGGTCAAGCATGGAGTCGGATCAGTCTCATCCAAGAGGGACCGGATATTGTAACAACACTATATTTGTTGTTATTGTAACAACAACATAGGTGGACCAATAGGAACCCACCATTCTGCATACTTTTGAAATTCATGCGTTGACTAGGGTAAAAAACAAAGGAAGGGTATTTTTGTCCTACCGAAAAGTTGCAGCTCCTTTTGTCCGAAAAAGTGCAGCTCGTTTCTCACCATTCTCTCTCCAATCGCGCAGCGCCGAGGCTGAACGACGGGCGACGAAATCCTCATCGCAGCAGCTACTGCAACGGCGGCGACGAGATCGTGACGGAGCAGCTACCGCAACGCGCGGCGACGAGATCCTGACGGAGCAGATACCACAACGGCGACGAGATCGTCATCGCGGCAGCTACTGCAACGGCGGCGACGAAATCCCGCGCAGCAGCTATTGCAACGCGCGGCGACGAGATCCTGACGCAGCAACTACCGCAACGGGGACGAGATCGTCATCGCAGCAGCTATCACAACGGTGGCGACGAGATCTGATCGCACCAGCTATCTCAACGACGGCGACGAGATCTGATCACAACGGTGGCGACGAGATCTGATCGCACCAGCTATCGCAACGGCGGCGATGGCGGAGCAAGCTCCTGATCGCAGCTAAGACATTGACGATGGACGAGAATCGTGTAGATGAAGTTTCTGTTGGTTCTGTAGATGCTCAACAACTCGTGCAAATTGCAACATCTTCTGAAGCAACAGAAGGCGGATATCAGCTGGAAACCTCTATTTCCACCAACAGTGGCAACAATGAACAAGAAGAAGGTACGCTCAACTCAATCCTTTCCTGTTTTCTTACAATGAGCACCATAATCACGCTTATACAAGCCATTTACCATATCATAAACACTTCCAATCAAACCGCCCACAAAAATCCCACAAACGATACCAAAAGCATCGCCAAACACACCACATTCTTCCCAAAACAAACCACAAGAAAAAAAAGAGACAATCAACCAAAACACTTAAAAACCAAACCACAAAACTTCTTAAACGCACCAAAACACCTCCAATCCACACCATTAAAACCTAAATCTGTTTGCAAAAAAACTTTTTGCAATCTGTTTGTAAAAAAAAAATCACACTGTAATGCAAACCATAAATGTCATAAAAACATCATGAATAACTACAATGCAAACCACTTTTCACTTTTCTAGCAAATATCATCGCAAGATGAAATGATCAAACCGCCCACAAAAATCCCACAAACGATACCAAAAGCATCGCCAAACACACCACATGTTTCCCAAAACAAACCACAGGAAAAAAAGAGACAATCAACCAAAACACTTAAAAACCAAACCATAAAACTTCTTAAACGCACCAAAACACCTGCAATACACACCATTAAAACGTAAATCGTTACATTCCACAATCTGTTTGTAAAAAAAATCATAC